TCAAACGAGTTATGTACACAATTATTTCTACGACCACAATTATTTAAAGAATGTTCCAGGTGTTTTGTATATTAAAGTGTACGCATAGGACACATAAATAAAATCTTATATCACAATGTTTCACCTAACCAGTTGGTTTATTTATAGAAATTAAACATAATAATTGAAGATATTACAGAAGAAAATAGGGAAATAAATTACATTTCCTTTTACACTTTTATATAATAATTGTTTTATTTAGAATTCACGAATCACTTATTACTCTACATTAATTATAATTATTGTTAGTTTCGTCATGTCAAATCATTTATACTAGAGGTGTGAGGAAAATATAGTGAACTGTGGAACGCTAATATCGTTGGATTCGCGTGGTAGAAATGGTCCTATAATACTGCTAAAAACATAGCTAAATTTTCATGGAAACACTGTACTTTTGACATTTGCGATACTCCGACGCATATGCATTATTGATGTAATCTCATGATTTTACAGTAATAGTTTTTGCAATTTTAGTGTGATTTTTAGGTTATTATGGTTATTCATTTTATTTGGTTCTGATCTTTTGCGCTTTTAGAGTATTTGTCTTTTATATAGTTTTTAATTTGAATTTTAATATTGTGGTCTATTTATATTTGATTGCTGCTTTTCGAGTAGTGCTTTATTCTTTTTGTGTTAAAATAAGCTTTATAACCATTAAGTACATGCTTCTAGTTGATATCTACCTAATCGTCATCGGGTGCTTGCAACAATGGGAAAAAGTGTATGGTTTTTTTGGTGTAAAGTTAGACGCCTTCATTTTTCAGGTAAGTTATTTGTAGTTATTTTTTACTTAAAAGGATAGCAATACGTCCTGGTTCGGGATGTGACTTTTGGGTTTTAGCTATCTGAGCCAAATTGTCGGCTAAGTGTCCTCTTTTACGGCACCCAGAACCGAAAACTATATAGGTATATAATATGTTTTTTTTTTAATTATTTTTTAATATGTATGCAGCTTGGATGAGGGCTTTAGGAAGAGATCCTAAGACTGAACACTGACTGCTATAAATGCCGTTTTTAGAGCACATTTCATAGTAAGTGATTTCATTCTAGTAGCAATGAGGAAACGTTTAAAAAACATGCTGTACCAGCTATTACTTTAAGACCTCGTCTCTTTAAGTTATTATTACTTCATTATAATGCATATATTAAAATGGTTTTTAACTTATGTCCTTATGATTAAAAGATGTAGGTATTTTAGTTATGTTATAATAGAAATATATGATACTTTGTATTGACTGACCTACTGGCCACTGGTCATTCCACTTTTACTCCCTTTTTCATAAATTATCAAATTATTTAAAAACAAATACATATGTAGCTATTTTCTGTAAATTACATTAAAATTTTAGTATTAATACTTTACTAATAAAACTTCAGTTAATTTATCTTATATATATATATACACAACGAAAGAGTTAATTGGATTTTCTCCTTATTGAGTTTCAAAAATAGTAATTTAACATGATTTAAAAACAAATACATGAAATGGGCAAAATAGGCCTGCAAAGGCACTTTGTAAACAATCTCACTTGTATCGATGTGACGTAATGCGCGAATTCAATCTGGCTTACTTTTGTTAATAGATTGGCGTTCCATTTTAAATATACAGTTCACCGGGAATGGATTATTTAAATATACACGGACCGGGAAAACAAGTACGAAAAAATTCACTAGCTCCTGGACTAGTACTGTATCGAAGGAATTTTTATGAATGAAACAATATACGACCCTCCACAATTGCGGTCTACTCTACTTCCGCTGTTGTCAGACATTATTTTTTTTTTGGACAATTTAAAGACCTAACAGTAATTCAAGCAAACGCAATAACATTACTACAGTTAAAAACATCGCAAACTTGGCATCAATATTTTAATTTTATCCAAATATTGCATTTCTGTCGAGGATCATCCGCGTTGACTTCAGAAATTGTGTAATCTGTATTGTGTTATATCTATAGTTAAAAGCACGTAAACTTGGCATCAATGTTCAATCCGGTTATTGAGTTTCTACCGCGGACACCACCGTTCATTCTTCAAAAATTTTGTAAATAATCCTATCTGTCTTGGTAATATATCTATGTGCTGTACCCATGGCACAGATTACCTAGACCAGATACGAATGTACGCAGCGGCATCTTTACCGGCTCCCTCACAAAGGCGATGCCGGTTTCGGCTTAAGGTGCGCGTTTGTTGGACCATGATAATAATTTATTTATTGTGAATACAAAAAAACGTTAGTTGGACCATTGGAATAGTTAAGAAATAAAACTACCAATGAAGTGGAGAGGGGTAGAATGACAACTGTCAATGAAAAAGTCTAGACACTATGCACAATTTCGTTTTGCACATTTTGTAAACAAGATTCAGGGACGGTTTAACGAGATTTTGTGCAACAATTATAAAATAGTGCATCGGTAAATAATTGACAAGTTTAATTTAATACTAAATTGAAATAAAAGCACAAAAAATCACAAATATACGCAAAATAACAAAGAATTGACGCCAAAAAAGCTTACAACAGCCACAACACAAACAAAAAAACAGAGCTGAACATGAACATAATCGCTGAACAATTCCAATCCTGGAATTTGTTTACATTGCTTTAGGGCAACCTCTCCTTGTCATTTACATGTGTAAGAGTGGAAGGTTGAATCATGCATAATTTCTACACTCGTGATGGATGCGCAGACGGTACTTTATCGTTCTACCCTCTCTACTTCTTTGAAAACTACAAAGAAAAATAACTTTTTTTTTATAAAGCAGTCAAAAATATGATGAAAAAAAATCAATAATATTTATAAATGGGACAAAATTTTTCGGATTTCAAATGTCTGTTTTTGTTCATCTCAAAAAGGTATGCGTTGAAAATTCCAGGATTAGTTGACAAACTATCAAATAGAGATATAAATATTTTTTCTAATTTGAAAATATAAATGAGAAATTTTTCGCTGGGAGATTTTAAATTGCCAAACACCTTCTCTTCAGAGTCGTATGCTTTAAAATGCGTTAAAAAGTTACAATTGTTAAGTAAATTGCATTCTTCTGAGAAATTTACGCAAATTTCGCAAGATATGTAATGATTTTTTGATTAAATAGCCACATACATAGTTAAATGCATTTTGAGTGGTCACATTTAGCTCCCTGTAGTCACATTCAGAAATAGTTATTGCCCCAACTGATTGTTTTGAAATATATTTAATTTTCATTAAGCGCAAAATTTGTTTTCCTAATTAAAAAACGAATCCCGGGATTCCTTTCCAGTGTGTACCCCACTGCCGCTAGCGCCCACGAGCCGCCATTGAATAGAAGATTCGTTATTAAATTCTGGTTTGTTTTTCTATTAATTGGAAGAAATTGGAGTCAGCAAAAAATTGCACAAAATTACTTGTTGAAGTATCCAAAAAATATCTAGGAAATTAAAATCTCCAACTACAATTACATTTTGTCTGGCTTTGGGACGGACCGTAAAAATGTTGCTTTGATTGTTTGGATTCTGACTGATTACTATATGATTTGTATCAACATATGATCACATTAATATGTGCTAAGGATGCAAGTCAGGATGAAAACGAGCCTGCAGAAAGTGAAATAATTTGATCGAGAACGTCCCAGATTCAGGATGGCCGTGTAAGCCCATAAGATACATGCCAATGAAAATAACATGTTTTAAAAAATATTCCCGGAGAACGCAGTCTAGTTCATACAGTCAATCATTGTAGTTGTGTTTTGATTGGCTATCGCCTAGCACAAGGTATAATTCTTTATCCAATCAAATAGTTTCAAATATTCGAGTAGTTTTAGCATGGTCCTATTGCTGAATTAAATAAATAGTTGAAACCGTTTTAGTTTAAAATTCCGCGAAACAAACAAATCTTCGACGGCCAAGACTAGTAGTTGTTGCGACGAACGATTGTCGGTGCGCGCGAAGAAGGTGGTGCGCGGTGTCGCGTACCTCTTTCTTTCTTTATTCTTCGTACAATCGGCGGATAGGCGGCGGCGGTCGTTGACCACCATGACCCGATCGCTGAACCACGTTCATCAACTGTACTAACGAACACACACTCATCGCCGCTCGGGCTGCTATAATATGCTATATAGCTATAATATGGCTATTGGCTAGCTTTCATTTCATTTCGTTCGTTGTTCGCTTTGTGTCTACAAAACGGTTTCGAAGAAGAAAAAGGTAGATTGGTCGGTTACTGTCAACGTTTAGGTAGGTATTTTTGTGTTTAGGCGTATGTTGCGACAGCGTCTAGTAGAGTTATATGAAATTCGATTGTTGTTTGAATTTAAAGTGAGACGCATAAGCAACAGAAAAATATACTCGTTCCTACCGGTTATTTTTTTAATTTTAATCAAGGCACCAACGCAGTTTTGTTTTTCATTTATTATAGGGTTGTCCAACTTTAACTTTATCACTGATTTGTAATAGGTACAAAAAACTTGTATAATTATTTTTGTATTTATATTTTTTTGACTTCATAAATTTCATGTTGGAAAAGCTGCTTTCTTAAATACACGTCTTCTCAGAATTGAGCCCATTATAAGCCTAAGTTCTAAGGCCTAAGTTGGAAGGTTACTTAAAAAATCCAATTCTATTGAAATTCTTCTCTGGTAGGTAAAAATAATTAAATCGGTTTTCGAATTCGTCTGCATTTACAATCTATTTTAGAGTTTTTAATTACCTCCCTTTGTGAAATTCAAATTAATTCATACTTACTGTATTTTGCCTTTTTCCTCTTGTAGTAGTGATCGTCTAGTTAATTAATTGATAATTTATATACCCACGTTGTGATAATATTAATTAAGGTAAACCAGGATTCGAAGCAAAGTTTAGTGCAATTTGATAAATAAAACCAGACAAATTTATATTTAAACTCTTTTATATTTCATACTTTATATGTGATACAATAATTAGCAAAGTATATTACAATTAATATGAACTATTTTTACTGAGATCTCACTTGAGTCCCGTTCAAACGCAGACCACGTTCATTTGCTATTAAGATATATTCTATTTAGGTTGATGACCAACGGAGTTAACGAACAGCGCCAATTCGCCAGTTGGTTAACTACTGTGTTGATGATTATATTTTTATTTAGCTTGATTCTATTCTAGACTAGCGGACCCGACAGACGTTGTCCTGTCTTAACTATGAATATTGATTTCGAATTCGTATAATTAACTTAAAAAATATTCCAGAAACAAAGTGTTTATTGTTCTAATATTAGGCGATAGCTCTGAAATAACGGTGATGTGTACTTAGAAATTCAGTTAGAAATAAATTAATTATTTTATATGTATTTTATCAATATAATAACTCCGATCGAAGCATTTGCAGCACGCATTCTGTCAATGTTATGTCAAACGCCATAAGGTTACATCAAAAAAGTTTGAATTGTAAAAGCGCTATGGTTACATTAGAAATAATTTAATATAGTGGTAAAGTATTCTTAAATTTTCTAATTTTCCGCGCAATTTTCTTAATTTTTTCTTTCATAAGTATCTTCTTTTGACAATAACAAATACAACAACAAAAGAATTAGCGAAATCGGGCCAGCCATTCACGCGCGATGCCGTGACTAAGGGAAATAGGGATTCATTTTTATATATATTCTTAGTATCGGCCTTGAACTATGGCGTTAACGGCCAAAAGAAAATAACATATAATCCATATTAGCATAAGGCAGTCGCGGCCTTATCATCAATGGCAGTCACGGCCTTATCATCAATTGCATTCACGGCCATCACATCAGGCAATATCGGCCCACCAAGGCAGTATCGGCCTTGAACTATGGCATTATTGGCCAAAAGAAAATAACATATAATCCATATTAGCATAAGGCAGATTCGGCCTTATCATCAATGGCAGTCACGGCCTTATCATCAATGACATTCACGGCCATCACATCGGCAGTATCGACCCACCAAGGCAGAATCGGCCTTGACATATGGCAGTAACGGCCATCGCATCTGGCAGTGTCGGCCCACTAAGGCGGTATCGGCCTTGAAATATGGCAGTAACGGCCAACGCATCGGACAGTATCGGTCCACAAAGGCAGTATAAGCCTTGAAATATGGCAGTAACGGCCATCGTATCGGACAGTATCGGTCCACAAAGGCAGTATAAGCCTTGAAATATGGCAGTAACGGCCATCATATCGGGCAGTATCAGTCCACAAAGGCGGTATCGGCCTTGAAATATGGCAGTAACGGCCATCGCATCGGCAGTGTCAGCCCACTTAGGTAGTATCGGCCTCAAACTTTGGAACAAACGGGCAGTGTCGGCCAACCGAGGCAGTATCGGCCTCAAACTTTGGAACAAACGGGCAGTATCGGCCCACCGAGGCAGTATCGGCCTCAAACTATGTAACAAACAGACAGTGTCGGCCTGACCTGTTACCAATCTAGCAAGTTTGTCAGCTGCAACCAACATGCAACTCCGTTTACGCAAATCTTCGACTTCGTACATTGTACAGCACCTTTCTTTTTCGAAATGATCCTTTGAACTTTGCTAATAATTTCTTGCTAGCCCCGGTACACGCCTTACACATAATCAGTACTCAAACCAAGTATTTACCAATTTCGAATCGCTCCGCTTCACGTATTTGTTTATCATAACGTTACTTCTGTTTACGTTGGTCGTGATCAATGTGTTCTTTAACTTTACTTCTTAATTCGGAAATATTAATACGATCGATTAATAAATCAAATTTAACAAATAAACTTCTGCTTTAGGCTTTGTTTTGATAACCAAATAACGCTAAAACTGCTACGAATTAAATATTTAAAGCACTTTGTAACTCCTTTACACGCGTGTCCCATTAATGAATGTCGGTTTCTTTAATTTCAATATGTACACTGTCAGTTTTTCCAAGTTCAATCATGGACCTTGAAATTAAATCTTTAAATTCACCCATCAGTGTTTCAAATTCAAGTTTTTGTTTATTGTTTATATACAATTTATTTCGAAGTTTCCAATTTCAAAGCAACTTAAATCGTTTACTAGTTCGTTATTTATTCCTGTTCACGAATATAAACATGTGTGCCTCTCTTTATCAGCATTAAATTTGGCAATTTAATAAAATCACTTCCGATTATACAGTTATGTATCACCTTATTGTCGTCTAGCACAGAAACGTTTAACGTACATTTAATTTTACATTACCCTTTACATTACAATGCGACTGTTCACAAAGCTTTGCAAAACATATGATTTACCAGCGTCAATTTTGAGTTACAGTTTCTCTAAAATACGTTGCCGATTTAGGGTAGTATTACAGAACGTCTGCAACTTTGCAGATCTGCAACTTTGCGGATCTGCAAATATGGCGGACTTACAAACGCAAGTATTCTAAAAAATATCTACAAATTCGCAATATTTATTGTGGTTTATTACCCCCAACAACACTAAACCCAAATTTGGAATACGAAAACTTGATACTTGCATGTGTAAGTCAGTCATATTTGCAAGATTTTCAAAGTTGCCGCCATATTTGCAGATCTGCAAAGTTGCAGACGTTCTGTAATCTCACCCTTACTGTGCATGAACTGTCGGTGTCTACTAAACATTTACATTTATTTCCAATTAAAGAAACAGTCATAATGGGTTTTTCTCATCATCACTCGTTGTCACGATTTATTAGACACAAAAATACACAACACTTCTAAATACTGTCACTATCAACGGGCGATCACTAGATTCAATATCCAACTTTTGATATGTAAGAATATTCAAGAAAACAAATGTTTAAAGTCCAAAAACAACGAGTTTTATTAATTAAGGCCAAGTTCAATTTTGTTTGACATATAATCACGATTTTTTTTAGGTTAGAAAATTGCATTATCGATTATTTTTCATTTGAAGTAATAAAAGACGTCACTTTAAATTTCTTTCTCTTCATGTCAACAAATTTGTAACACGATGAATTTATAAAACGTATGTCACTAATGAATATGTGGCGGCAACTAACGGCAACACTGTCAGCTACTCCATGACTACTAGAGTACATACAGGTCCGGTATAAGCCATGGAAAATAATAATTTAATGTTTTGATCGAGTTAAATAAAATATCAAAATTAAATGTTTATTTTTAAGTAAACGATATTTTTAAATGTATACGTCTTCAATCAAAAATAATATAGGCTAATACTCAAGTGTATTATACGATTGTACTGGACAAGAGATAATTTTACCCTCTACTCCAGTTTTTTGTAATGAAACCAGCGGTAAAATAGATATTTGTGTACCAAGGCTGTGTTTTGGCCGAATTAGACATATGCGTTCAAGTCTAAGCTAGTTCTGGTTAAGTATAAGAGTAATAGGCAAGAAACGCGTGTTCAATCAAACTTGACATCGAGATAGATGTCACATAAGCAGGAGTGCGTTTAGAAACCCCGCACGGCGCGTCTGACCACATGCATTAAAATAGGGTCCAGACGCGCCGTGCGGGGTTTCTAAACGCACTCCAGGTGTACTGAAGATGAACTTTGCAGGTCCAAGCATCAGATAGGTATAACACTTGATATTCTGAAAACTATGTGGATACTACACTAAATAAGAACGAATGGAAGTGTCAGAAGAAGGCTAAAGGCAAAAAATAGACGGAACAGAGCCTAATAGATAGATAAGTAATATTTTAGCCAGGAGAGAGTCGATGAGTTATAAATATAGTTAATTTATGAATGTATTTTTAATGTATAATTTCAGTTTATTTTCAGTTTTGGTATAAAACTATGGCTGACATAATAAAACTCTTAAAAGTATATATATTTTCAATCTTTATTACTATACATTATTTAGTATTCATTTATTCTCTCTGACCTAGGGAAAAGGTCAGAAAACCCTAGTCATAATTGTTTACAATGTTGCGTGTTCCTAATGATACAAAACATTACAGAGGAATGATACTTAGCAGATGAAATCTCATAGAGTTCACGCAGGACATATTGTGGTATGGACTATGGCTATCTCTGATGCATCTGCAGATTTAAATTTATTTTTGCGTACTGTTTTCTATCAACTGATACCCCAAATTTATACAAGCCACGTCTTCGCACCACAATGTGACATAGCATCAAATCTGCTTAATCTCGTACCATTTTTGTAAGTATCAAGGATATTCTTGGTGTAGCTGATCATCATGTTTCGAGTCATTGAACCTAAAAAATAACAAATATCAATAAATAGAATTCGGAATTTATTCCAAAAATATTTTTCTTTGGGAATTATATAGGATTTCTCGTTAATATACTGACAAACTTTTAAAGGTGGTAGGGGCATCAAAATAAACATTTTTTTGCTTATTAAAAGAATAATAATTTTATTGCCCAACAAATTAATCCATTTACAGAACAAAATACATGAAATAAATGTTAACCATAATATTTCGACAGAAAATAATTTTAGCAACAGCAAGAAAAAAAAAAGAAAAGAAAGAATCCTAAATACATTAGCTACAAATTAGTACAACTAATGGTCGAAATAAATATCCCAATCAGAACAAAATTAATTAAAATTTGAGCACATTAGCGTTATAGGTGAATTTCTTCCCAAGTTCGTTCAAATACTTGCTGTATAAAATGTTTTATGATATCTAATGGCTGTTTGGGGAACATTAAAATTTATTTAATTTATCAAAAATAGTACATCAATAGTGTTATGTAATATTTTATAAAAAATCTAACACTGGAAACTACCCTTCTATTTTCGAAAGAAGCAGAGATTCTTCAATACCTCGAATGGGATACAGCTCATCTATTTTAAAAGAAAGGTAGGGGAAGAGGGGGCACAGTGTTACACAAAAAATGTATTAATTATTATTGCTTCAAGCAGATATAGTAGACCAATTCTGTCTTAAGCAATAGGTTGGTATAAATGTTGACTATCATCGGAGAATTAATCACGGATCCAGTTCTAAAGATAAGGTTAGAGTGACACATTTTTTATTCGGGATACACAAGTAACACTGTTCCCCACCACTGGGGTACAGTGTTACACATACTGGGGTACAATGTTACAGTGAAAGTTAGAATGGAGTACCTATGATGTTTTATAATAAACAACAGTTTCTTATGAAATTTTTATTTAAAAAATATGTAACATAAATCAAAAACACATTTACTCAACTTTAACTACGACCTAAAAATAATAAGTGATAGTAAGTTAAAGTTATTTTAAAGTATTATAATATTGACCGAGGTCTACTGAGAAAGTTAACATCTCGGATCGCCTGGCTGTTCCTCCAGATGGTTTTGGAGCAGGCAATTTTGCTAGAACCTTGACCAAGTCGAAAGAATATTCTTCAAGAGTACGAACAAATTTGAAGGTTGGATGTAATCGACGGATATATACCACATTAATTTCGGTATCTCTTTTATTTTTTATTAGCCCTACCGACATAACTTCGTGTCCCTTCGTAATCCCTTCTTTTATGAGAACATAATCTCCCTTATTTAATTCCATTTCCTGATGAAAATCTATCTGTTCCACATCATCGCTGACAAATGAGCCAACACTTGCGTCACTTTCTGCACATGAAAAATGTGAATCTTCTGATGAAGAATCTTGTTGAACTTTTTTCTGTAATTTTGATTTTTTTGGTTTGAATACGTTTCGGGTATCTTTGTTTTTACGACTATTTATGTCTGCAATGATTTGATCTTTGATTGGAGTTTCAGTGAGAATCTCGCTTTTGCGTTTCCGGGTTTTTTTGTTTTTCCTTTCGGATGCTTTTGGATGAGGTCGAACGTCTGTGGGCATCACAAGACAAGTAGAATTTTTACTTGACTGTACCAGAACAGAGGACTGGGAGTGTCTTGAAGTAGATGGAATCGGAGAATGTGGCGGAGTAGAATGTAAAGGTGGCTCCAATTCATCGTCTCCTTGATTTCCTAAATTTTCGTTTTCGGCTTCCACATTAATAGTCTGATCTAAAGATGGCTGTGGTCTATCTGTAACAGCTGATGCCAAAAAATCATCATCTGTATAGATGTCTCTATTTATTGGCCAAATTCCAGTACATCTGAATCCATTTACAATATTATTGGGAGTGAATGCTAATGGATACGCTCTACCCAGCAAACCAGCAACTTCATAAATTGTTATGGTCTTTCCAGGATTCATGACCATCCAATCATTACAAACTTTATTGATATTTGTCTTCAAAGACTTGTATACCGTTTTATCAAGCGGCTGAAGTTTTCCACTAGTGTGAGGTGGTAGGGTCAAAAGAATTATACCGTTGCTTTTACAAAATTCTAAGGAATCAATGGTTATGTGTGACTCGTGGTTATCCAGTATGAGAAGTATGGGCGCCTCTTTAGCAGCTTTTACAAAACGTTGGAAATGTTTTAAAATATCCACGAAAACTTCTCCATTGACCCATCCAGTTTTTGCAGCCGAACCCCTAGTTCCCGGAGGGGCTCCTGTTAACATTCTATCTTTAAAATGTACGCGTGGGAACACCAAAAATGGAGGAACCGAATTTCCGGTTGCATTAATGAAACAACAAGCAGTCACCAATACACCTCTTTCGCCAGATGTTACTTGTCCAATCTGTTTTAAGCCTCTTTGTCCAATTATATTTGGAGGATTATGTACCGTTGTTAGGGCTGTTTCATCCAAATTATATATATTTTCTGGAAATGGACCGTTTGGAAATTTATCGTATGCTTTGTATAAATTATTATAAAATTCGTTTACAGTAGTTCGATTGAAACTTGTTGCTCGCCCAAGACTTGTGGCTTCAGGTTTCCTAAGTGATAGTTCTGGATAACGCTTCATGTAACCATATAACCAATCTATTCCAGCTTGTTGACGTCGTTGCCACGAATCTGGAATTTTCAAATTATTTCTTATGGCAAGTTGGTATGCTAGATCCATAACATTTTTTCTTGTTAATCCATGGTGCATTTTGCAAGCTTCAATGAGGTAAGTCTTCAAAACATCCTCTAAATCTTTGGGAAATATTTGATTCACTTTATAATTTGGCTCAAACCTGAAATTTTCCCTATTTTCTTCTGAACACTGTTTATATTTGTCCACATATCTTTTTAAGGTCATACGTACCAAATTTTCAGATGCAGCAACTGACCTGATCGATTTTCCATTATTAATAACTTCCAGCACTGCACGCTTCATTGTTTCTCCATCAAATATAGCAATTTTTTTTCTTCCTTTCGGTTTCGCACCATTTTGAAAATTTTCTGAAAATAATAAATAATAAATAATAAAGAAATGTTTTAGAAACAAGCAAGTCATCA